CCAGCAGGAAGAGGAAGAGGAGCAAAAAGAAAAAGAAATCGACAGCAGGGAGGAAGAAGAAGAGGATTGTTCCAGATTCAGACTTAGGTATCAATGCCCCCAAGGCAATTGGTACCTACTACAATTGYTTTTGCAAGTTCATGGAATTCAAGGATGATTGTGTGTATGATTTTGATCATGTATTCACTGATGAACAGAAGGCTTCCATTAGGCCAAAGGACATCTACAGATGGTTCTGTGTGAAAGCCTATGGAAAAGCTGAGCCTGGTAGTGCAGACTGTCCTAAAGATGCTAGGGCKAATTCAATGTCCTWCTGGAAGAAGGCACTGTCTCATTTCATGTTGACACAGTCTGCTTGGGATGAAGTTAATGAAGTTGGGAATCCTACTAAGTCACGTCTAGTCAATAAACTGATTGCTGCAGCRAAGAAGGCTGAGAYGAGAGGCACTGGTAAACCAAGTGAAGCTGATAGGGAGATGACCCATGCGGAGTTTGTTCAGGTAGTGCAGATGGTATCAAATCAGGGCCAGCCGATTGATAATCTGAGACATGAAGCAATGCTCAAGTTTCAGCTGCATTTGATGGCTAGGATGGATGATGTTGCTCATGTAACAAAGGTAAATCTTCATGAGAGCTTGAGATATCCTAATTATCTCTGTACCAAGATGAAATGGTCAAAAAATGTTAGTGAGGAGCGCCATTGCCCTCAACAGCTGATCCTAGGGGCAATGGATACAAATTACTGTGTTCTGCTTGGGCTTGCAGTTTTTCTGGAGAAGTGGCTTTCCTCTGGTGAAGGAAGGACCAGTCAGTGGTTGTTTGGTGAGGGAGATACTGATTGYCACGACCCAATTGAAGACCAAGAAGCTGAAGCTGACAGGACCAAAGCCAATTATGCTAGGGCGGTGAAGGCAGCAGTAATGAGTGAAATGTTTGTCCMAGCAACCACTTCAGAAGCAGAGGGGAAGGTTGGTACTCACTCAGTTCGAAAATTTTCATGCTCTAAGGCTAGGATGAGTGGYGGAAGCTATGAGGAGTGTGATTATAGGGCCCGCTGGGCATCTAAAGAGCGGATGCAGTCTYGCTATACAGCAGTTCAATTAGATTGGCCTGATGTTTCATGTGCTAGCAAGCTTTGTGAGGGGGGAGCGTGTAGATACAAGGCAGTTGAGGGAAGTGGTATTACAGATGAATGGCTTGCAAGTGAGATTGCTCCAGCRATTTGTGCYRCRTTTGGTCCWGGCGTTGCAAAGATTCTTGGGCTTACTTTGCTGTGGGCGTCSTTTGAACCATCTACTGTTGATTTGGTACCAGCTGACATCAGGCACAGAGTTGTAGCGAAGTTCATTCTTCTTGAGAGTTCACTTGCTGATGGAGTGAATCCAGTGCAAAGAGTGAGGGTGGTTCCATCAGAGGTGAGTGGATGTGTGAGTCTGGATGAGATCACTGACAATACTGATGATATGGCYACTAGGTCTGGTCAGCGTTGGAGAAATGCTATTTATGCAAAGCTTGCTTCAAACCAGGAGGAGCTTGGCCAGCTTCACAATCACCAAGTTTCAGAGCTAGCTGATGTTAAGCGGCAGTTGAGGGCTCTGCAAGCCACAATCAGAGCCTTAGCTGCAGCCCCTGCAAGGATTGTACTACGTCATGGTGGTGGTGCTGGTAGTGTTGTTAGTGGGCTTGGCAGTGGTGGTGTTACAGGGACTGGTAGGGGGAGACGAGGACGAGGAGGTGGTAATGCAACAGTAATAGAGGAGGAGGCTGATGCTCCTATTGGTACCTCTCACCCTGGTCCTCCTGCTACACTTACACCTAATCTGAAGTTTATCCCCCTTCTGTGGGATGAATGGTGTAATGGAATTGGTGGAAGAAAGCCAGCGAGGGATTTTACTACTGCTGAAAGAGGCAGATGCAGGGACAAATACAGCAAGCGATTGATTATTTGGAAGTGTGGACTGAGGAGCTAGTAGTAATCGATCGATTCGGAGCAATCGATCCGTATGGAAGCTTTGCTGGGATTCGTTGCTGGGATTCGTTGCTGCGATTCGTAGCAATCGATTTGTTGCTGCTGCAGCAGCAACAAGCAAGGGAGCAATCGATTTGTAGGGAAGCAATCGATTCGTYGCTACTGATTCGGAGCAAGCAACAAGCAACAAGCAAGCATCGATTCGGAGCAATCGAAGCATCGATTCGGAGCAATTGATTCGTTGCTGCAATTCGGAGCAATCGATTCGTGTATGGAAGAAGCAAGCAAGGAAGCAATCGATTCGTTGCTGCAATTCGTGTGGAAGGAAGCAATCGATTCGTTGCTGCGAAGGAGGCAAAGATTCGTTGCTGCAAAGGGAGCATTCATTGCTGCGATTCGTTTGCTGTGTTATTCGTGTTATTCCGTGTTATTCGTGGCCGTGTTATTCGTGGCCGTGTTACGTCGTGTTATTGCTATCCTGAATAAAAGAGCAATCTTGGATAGCTGTTAAGAAATAGTAAGCAGTATTCCTATTAACACAGTTAGCAACACCCCCAGTACCAGTAGTATTGGGCCTGAGGTGCTTGTAGGAATCAGTAGTAAGGAGTTCGTGTGGAGGTGTTTATTTCCAGTAGTAAGCAGTACTCTTAGTACTGTCGACTTCCAGGTTTTTTGTTGTACCTTCATTCCCCAGTAGTTAGCACTCTTACGAGTACTTCAAAGTACTTGGTTAATTAAGGAGTGTACTCGTGTACCTCAATTTTCACTAAGTTTTTTGGTATTTCACCTCCAGTAGTAAGCCTCTCTCTTAGAAATACTTGTGT